ATATATATATATATATATATATATATATATATATATATATAATTATTTAAAATATGTATCCATTTTAAAATTATAAATAATAATGTTAATAATATTGATATATATTATGCAGAAATTGAAGAAAAGTCTCGCACTTTTGGACACAAAAGAATTCAGTTCATGCTGATGCCGATGATGTATAAAATGGGAGTGATGATGACAATGATGATGGTAATAATAGCGCTCACAGCGAAGGGACTTATTGTAGGTAAGCACCGTTACTTTCATAACGCAATGAAAAATGTTACCCACACAAATGTTTAACAGTCTCGTGGCTACCTGTGGACGGCGTAACCTGCATACATGATTAAGTGATATTGCTGACCCATTTACTGAATATATGAGTTCAGTATTCAAGAGCGTTAGATTCACACGTGAAACTTTTTACTTATCCCAGTATTTCTCATAATTATTGATAAATGATATGACATAAAGAAATGTTTTATTCATTTCTTGTTGATTGATAAATTACTTATTATTCATCATCGTAAATAACAAAATCCTGTCGTAACAGTCATAATCGTAAAATTTATTATTACAATTTTCATTTCGCTCGATAACCGGTTTACTTACTTATCCATCCGTTAAATTTATTGTCGTTGGAATATATTAAGTTTTATAAGATTTTCCAATCCGTAAAATGTGTGCATGGCTTATCTTAACATATACGAAACGGAAGTTTTAATCCCTGCGTTTCACTATTTGCAGGAGTCATATTGCTGGTACTTAAACTGAGCACCTTTCTGACGAAACTTCATTCCGGCTACCACACAACGCAACCATGGCCATCACAACAACCAGTTCACGTACACGTTCACAGCGCTTTTCCCCATGGTCACCCACAAATGTACCAAAGTTGGGCGAGTGCCCCTGCATATGAGGAGCCTTATTACTATAAGGGATAAAATTCATATAAATTACATATATTTCGACCAGGAGATTTTTTACTGAAAAGCCATTAACCAAAAAAAGGTCATAACAAAACGTAATAGCCATCAATAGAAGCTACACTATTTGTATGATTTTAAGACATTTTTTGTCTCCTTGCGTTTATTAATTTATTCAAATAATATTATTAATATCTGACTTTTTATGGCTGTAGATATTAATATTTGCCATGGCATTGCTATTCAGACGCTATTTTTGGAAGCACTTATTCGTGCGAAAAATAAGAATTAAAATGTCAATTTAAAATAGGTCTTTTTACGCTGTGACCGAGTTCTTCGCATATTTTACTGTAAATTAAGCAGATACAGGTATACCAAAGGAATTTTCCTAACTTATAATAATAATTATAAGTTTGCAAAGTATAAAGAGCGAAATTCCTTTTCTAAAGGAAATACAAGTAGCGTTTTATAACGCAATAAATATGTAATTATTTATTGATAATTTATTTATCATAATATAATATTTATTACACATATTATATATGAGATGTACCACACGATGTGCCTTCGTAAAATACGTAAACAAATTGGATAATGTCCTACGCACATCGCATGGCGAATTTAAAAAAGATACATTTATCTCTATTATCATGTTCATCAAATAACAATCATATATAAAATATTAATTTGACCTATAGTTATGTGAAATGCGTATAATGTAGAACTACATTTCCGTACAAAACGAAAAGTATTTATATTTAAGAATTAACTACACACATACCTCATGTTACCAATAAGGATATATTTATAAGGCATTAAATATTATTAGAAATAGATGTTTTTAGAGAAATCTTTTATCCCCCATTCTTAGATTGCTAAAATTAATATATTTATCGACGAGCGGCCAGTGACCGCTGTAGCGAGTGACCACTGAGCGAGCCATATTCATGTTATGTCTGTTCCGCTGTAAATAGCCTTCTCCGGTAAACGAGACCCAGTTTTCCCGGCCTAAGGTAACCTGGCGTGGGGTATCTGAATGAAACAAAAAAGTAAAATATCTCTACTGCGCTTCGCGTAACATCGTGCAGTCTACATGGCAAGCGAACAGGAGAACGACGCGTTATATAGTGTATATCGGAGAGAAGATCAGACGAATAAAAGTTTCTAAAAGAGTTTCATTTGGTATCTTTTCTACGTTAGTGAAATGTTCGTTTAATTAACTGTGAGCGGGTCACGAGTATCACTGATGACACATCATAATAGTGTAATATAGATGCATAGTTATCGTGAAAATGATATCTAGCATCATATAATCTCATGTTTCATACAACATAAAAAAACATAACGTAAGTTATAAAAATATTAAGTAATTTGTAAAATAATTTAACGGTAGTAGCTTTAAATCTTTATTAAATTTATCAAATTTATCAAATGTTTTTGCAGATAATTATAAAAAATATATAGATTTATTATTTTGAGAATTTATCTTAACAACATCGTGTATAAATTTAATAAATATAATCGTCAGCAATACATCTTCTATTTTGGAAGAAAATTTGTAAATAATTCTCGATATATATATTTCAGTCAATAATATAAATCCATTGTAAATTCGAGGACATGAATAGGGCAAAGGTTTTCGTTTGCCATATTATTATCTGGCTAGTAACATCGTCAAAACTGTTAATTGAAGCTGAAGAAAGATGGAACAATTCCCAAATCAGCCTCAGCAAAACTCAAAGCTTGAAAATCTTCCCAGGAATCAAGTTTTGCTTGGCGAACAGTGAAATTAATATTCATGTGAGAGTTCACGACCTACTACGAGGTATTGACAGAATTTAAATTTACTCTGCACTTTTTACCTTTGAGGAAGATTAAGATTTCTCTTCTTTAGAGACGGAAGTGCAAGCAAGAAGCAAGGATAAGAAGAGTCCATTAGAAAGAATGGGATACATGATGCTGATGACGCCATTTATTATGCAGGTTTCTTATTTACTGTTTTCATTAAACATTCCTCCCTAGAAGAAATGATAAAATCCGTCTCTTTTCCAGATACTCTCCCTACCGGGCGCCCTAGCGACCATTAAAATATCACTTTTAAGGAGTATCATGGTGGCGCAATTAGCAATCGCAATAATGATCTACAATTTGATCAGAAGCTCTCAAAACTCGGAAGTTGTAGTCCGTCGACCGCATCATCACGCACACTATCGTCACAGACATCACGATCAACCCGACGACGAGGACGAATGGTTCGGTAGATAAAATACGCGTACGAGTGTGACAATGAGAACAATATATTCTCGTGATGCAGAAGCAATTTTCCAAAGCGATACACTCAAAAGTACGGGGGGCATCTGTGATATCGATCGAGAGCTCGTTTCGTAACGCTCAATGTGCAAAATTAATTTATTAATTTTAAAGTTATTTACATGTTCTTATATATAGAAATTATTAAATTATTTTCTACATATGTTATATATATATTTTTATTTGTGAACAATGTGATTCGCAATAAGAGAAAATATATCATTGATCTCTCGTCGGCTGCGTACTCACCTGTCCGCGTTTTGGCTTGTATTAACCAGAGTGACGGTATCAAGATGTCGGCTGCGGACTGACCCACTTCGGGCCTCCACATAACGGCATTTTGGTCCAGATTCTCACATTTGCGTGCAGACATATCCATTCAGGTTTTCTCATTTCTCTCTCGGTAAATTCGACATCGAAATCGAAATTAGAATTCCACTGTGCTTCTCGGGAAACAAAATCTCTCGACAGCGGAAGCACAAATGGCGTTCTTACACGCGAATAAGAAGAACATACAAGTTGATCGTAACGCAAATATCGGAAGCTTCGTAACGACGAACTGAATCTTCGAGACGTCGATATTCCTGATGCGTATATGTGCCAGAAACCCACCTTCCGCGAGCGATTGGCATTGTTGGTATGCCACGAGGATCGTCGTGTTGAAAATCGACACCTCATCGCAATACAAATCAGATCGGCAGGCCGTTTTCTGGACTACAAAATGCATGATGCACAGTGCATACCCGAGCAAATAAGAATCAAACGTTCGCTTATCGCGAATACTGTTTGAACCGCCTAAACATTACGTGGAAGAATTTAGATCTCTATCGCCGCTTCTACAACAATTCGATATTCCACGAACGAGTGTCTAATACCCAGCCTGTTCCAGATTGCAACGGAAAATCGAACGATTGACGAATACATCAGGTCGGTCTGGAGAAATTTTACTGGGCACGAAGAGTTTGAGTTTCATGACTATAAAGAATCTGATATCTATCAATTGTACAGTTTCAAATTGTCACGAAAATAGAATTTTCTCTCGCAAATGTCGCGTCGACTTAGTTGTAGTGGTATTTGACACTTTCTACATGTCTTACTGTAATACGCGCAATTTTAACTACGCAACGTTCAGGCTTCGTCTCCAAGATTATAGCTCACCGTGATCAGAAGTTTATAACGGTGCTAACTTTCGATCGAATCGTGCGATTTCTAATCTTGTCAAATCCAGTACGTCATATATATTCAGATGAAATTTTCGAGGCACAATTTCCGAATCGACGCGAACGGCCCTGACCTTCATTTTACCGTACTGTCTAATTTACAGGCAAAACTCAGAAAACTTAAAAACAAGAAAATAAATTTCTCCAATAATAAAATCCTCGATATTTTATCGAAGCTACATTTCACGATTTTCTTAACAGATTATTTTAATCGAAGCAAATTAGCTGTAACGAGATTTCCCTAGAATGTGTCATACGCTTTGCACAATGGCGTTAAAAAATGCAAGATTCTGCTGACATTATTCAGTGTCCGATTAGTTGACCTATGCGCATTGAACGCGCATTAATTTATTATAATCCTGCATCGTCCAGCACTCCCAAGAGCGCTCGTTTCTTAACAAGAAACAACCATCGATCTGACAGCGTTAAGTGTGAGAAACTAAAACGAAAGGTCATCTAATAAATACAAGCTTATCGTGATCGATGTAAATGTCTTCACATCCCGAGCTTGTTAATGTCCACCAGAAAGTCACCTGTGTCAGTAACAATTTAAATTAATTTTATGTAATAAATTTTAATTAATTTACAGTTAATAAAATTTAAATAAATTTACGTACGTAAAAAAGAAAGCCTAAATTTTTTTTGTTGATAAATATTAATGTTAATTATTCTCTCACAATGTTAAGTTCAACTTTTAAGATAAAGTGGAATATCTGAGAAAACTGAAAGTTGTGTTAAATACAATAACAAAGAAGTGTACTATGTCCGCACTAAATGACTTGCGTGAAAAATTTAGATAAATATTTATCGTCGGTATTTGTTCTAACCAATCACACAATAACTATCTTATAACTGCATTTCATAATTTTCTATACTGAAGAAAATCTAAACTTTAAGACCGAAACATTTGTAACTGTAATTTTAAATAACTATACCTTACTATACAATATAATTTTTGCTTCACCATCGGTGTTCGCTCGTTTTACTTGCTTTTTATATTTATTTTATCTCTTTGATATCTTGAGAGCTTTAATTTGTATATAAATATTTATCACTTTTCCTAATTTGTGTCACTCGTAACTCAAGTAAAAACGTCGATAAAATTTAATGTTATGTCATAGACAGCAACATGAATATATCTTATAGCGCGGAACGCAATTTACAGCCACGATACATTCGATCCACGACGATCTACGATCATTAATGAACCCCGGCGCAATTACCTCGCAGCCAAGTATGCAAAATGTGTGAAAGCATCTGCCCATCGAGAAAAACGTCAAAGGCCTCCTGATTTTTCCTTCTTGTCCCCTTCACGCTTTTCTCTTCTCCCTCGTTGTCTTCTCTCCGTTAGATCGTTTAATAGATAATTCGCGGAGAGGACGAGAACATTTTTCTTGTTAGTTACGTCACCGCTGCATGCTCGGAGGATTCGCTCGTGCCATCATTCAGTCGCGTGAACTCGAAGCCACAGGGATCTTCGTCAGGGATGTCGTCCTTCGTGGTGAGGATCCAAGGCCGACGGAGGAAAATATACGTTATCACGCGATAAAGCAGACGCGATTTTCAATTACAGAGGAGATGGGGCGATCTTCTGTGCTTGCTGTGCTACCTGGTCACGCAACATCGCACGGTCGCGGACGATAACAGCGTTAACAGGCCTTATGAGTTCTCCTTCAACATAGTCGATTTTCAACATAGATTCGAAAAGAAAGGTATATCGATCGAAAGAAGTGTTGGGCAAGATTTTTATTATTATAGATAAATGAATTACATAATTCTCAAATAACGTGCTTATAAGTGTTTTTGTGTATTTCTTTGTTAAGATGCCGAGGGGCTTATTACCGGGGAATACGGTTTCATCACAGCTGATAGTGTTTATCATGAGACTGGATATAAGACCGACAAAGATGGGGATTTTATTATCACGAGACAGAGGAACCGGAAAATAACAAGTTGTGAGTTATATCTTTATTAAAGTAACAAATCTAAATTTTATGTGTTTTGGTTATTTCAAACATCTGAAACGTTTCGTCTTAACATAATAAGTGGAGGACGCGCAAGAGATATTTAAAGATAGGCCGGAAGCAGCGAAGAAATTAATCGAAGCCGTGATGAAGGCCTGCGGCGGCTGTAAAATACCAATAAAGCATAAGGACGATCAGCCAAAACCTATCAAGATAGTCACAGAGTCGCCGCCGCAGAAAAAGATGGATCCGATATTAAAGCAGATGATGAAGATATTGACAGGTAAGATAAAAAGGAGTCTGTTTGCAGTGAATGAGATAACTATAAATTCACGCTCTTTTACAGCCAACACGTCTGCTAAGAATATCAAGAAAGAAGACATGAAAAACATTACGAAAAGCATGGTGCGGGCTGCAAAGAAGCTGTTGTCCGAGGAAGACAGTCCGAATAAAGTCGCCGTGAGTGATCGAGTTCTGGAAAAAATGGCGAACGATCTGTACTATCAGTTCAACTACACGATAACGTCGCACGGCCATCACGAGGACGGCTATCGCGACGGAAGAAAGAACGGTAGCTATCGATCTCAAAACGAAAACGGTATCGACACGCAGGTGAGGTATCTGTCCAACGAATTCGGGCATCAGCCCAACATCACGTTCGTTCCGCAGATGAAGGCGGCCGACGAGGAGCATGCTCTCAAAGGATACTCGTTTCGTTGGTATTGGTCGTAAATTCGCGATTTCGTGTAATGCCGATTTTATTTTAACCCAGATTTGTTAATCTGAATATGCGAAATATGCTAACACTTATTTAAATAACATGAGCTACGTCTAGAGACTCACAACTTTCGATTTTGAAAACTTATCGTCATTAAGGATAAAATAATTTATCACGCAATTAGCACGAAAATAATTTATCACAAAATGAATCATTCACTATAAAATAAAAATAATTTAAAATATAAATATTTTGATGATCTCGTCTAAAATATCATAAAATAATTTGTTTTTGGAAATGAAATTTTATTCGTCATTTTTTAATTGTCTCTTGGACACGGCTTTTTCTATAATATGCACTTATACAAGTATGATTTAGATTAAGTTATATTACAAATCCGAAATAAATAAAAATATTACGATAAAAAATCTATTTAAATTTACGTTTAATTTCTCACAATTTATTTAAAGCATTGATGAGGACTGTAAAAAATAGGTTTGTGGGCTTTAATTTCCTTTAATTTCTAACGGGAATGAAAACGGTATAAGAGCAAAAATGTAGTCAGACCAGTAAAATTGTGTGGCCAGGCTAATCCACAATTAAAAATATCATTAAATTTGCACGTTTTTTAAATTTTCAATGAAGAAATACTATTGTTCATTACTTTCAGTTCACAAATGTAGTAATAAAAGTGTTGTTTATATGTACATTAGGGTCAAGTATTTGGCACTTGTCGACCAGATGTTTTAGAGATCATTACTAGACTGACTTGAAATTCATATTCGAGAGTAGCAAATACGTGATAAAACTGTCACATAAATAATAACGAGATAACGGTAACGATAGTAAAGCCCACGTTAGTATTTCTGTTCTACAATAGCATGTTACACTTGGTTTGCACGGTTGTCCTTTCAGATATTAGAGAGGATGATTCTTTCCTGAAAAAAATAAAAATTTAAATTATTAAAAACAAACGTACTGAATGGCAGCGCGACGAGACCTTTACGCGAACAAGCTGTATTTCGTTTTATTATGACAGGTTCCATATACGTATGCGCAACTTATCATAATGATATTCGCGCGCGCCACTATGCCTATTACATCGTGTAATTGACGATTAAAAGGCGACGCGAGCAAAATACGGAAAGGGCGAACGTAGTAATCGTACAGTGAAAGGTAAGGCAAAAATTCCCGTATGATTGATGCATAATTCACGAAACCGACGGCTACACGTTCTGAGATCGTGTTAATTAACGGCACAAGAACCCCATTGTGACACGTTGTGACAGTCGAGTTGTCACGCGCGCCGGCACGCGTGACTACGAGGCTTTGAACTTCTAAAAAGCGGATTACTATTCTTATGGTGATCGAACGAACGTTAAGTGATATTTCAATCTTTCCAGTGAAAGGCTTGTAGGCGAAATGGACTTAAACAAACAGTATTATTGCACTTGAAATAATAAATCAAACGGGATAAATAAAAATACATAGAGCGATAAAAAATGTTCGGGGTATATTAGAATAAGAGCTATATTAAACACACATATGTAACTAGCGATTTAAACGTGTTTCGAAGCAACGATTTCACTATGATTTGATATTTCTTTGTTCTTGAAACGATGACAAAAGCCAGAATTGGGTTAACATCGTGTAGCCGATCAAGTGGAATTTTTGTCGTCGGTCTACGTACTGTTAAACGCGTGTGCCAAGTCGCTCGTACGCTACTTTAAAATCGCTGCTACATGTAATTCGAATTCTGTCCAATTTTTTGATCGTCTAAAAAATCAAAAAAATATTTTATAAATTTTTCTAATTAAAAAAGCAGGTGCTGTATGTTGTACTCGCGTTATTTTTATTGTATTTACTTTTAGTCTAAAAAAAATAAAAGTCAGATGACAAAATTAAAAGATACGAACTAGATAATAGAAATACGAAAATAGAAGAGAAATAGAAGTCTCGTGAGATATTACTATGAAAATGAAAGTTGTCGTGATTTCGTTGTTACTCCATGAATGATTTGCCATGTATTAGTGACATATAGAAGAGATCCCACTTTATCGAGTTCGTTTCCATTCAATACATCGCGAACCCGCAATCCCTCTGGGACGATACCGCACGTTTCGTCGTGGCGCCCACAAAAGACCACCACGGTGGAGGGGTACCCGGTAGACTTATATGAAACCAAACCCACTATTGGCGGAAGTTGAGATGGAAGGGACACCAGTCTCATATATGTTCGACCACGCACGCTCCACAACCACTTCGAGCTTGTGACACGCGGTCCAAGGCTACGGTTGACGGTCAAGATCGGAGAAAAAAAAAACGGAACACAAGAGGGTGACGGACGTGGTAGCCAGTCGACCAGGGAAGCTATTGCGCGATTTTCGGTGGTGATAACGGTGCGCCTCGATCGGTGAGGGTCGATATAAATTCGGCGGAAAAGACGGGCAACCATGAGAATAATCGCGCCAGTTTTCTTGGTCCTCGGACTCGCTCTGTACGTTCATTGCGCGGAGGAGAACAAGCCGAAGGAGGATGACATCGGCATTCTGGAGTGTATGTTCACGGACCACGCGGGAAATTGCCTCAGGACAAGACTGGCCCGCGACCTGGACCAGATCGAGTTGGAAATTACCGGGAAGAAAAGCGAGCCGCCGATGAGCGCGGTAGTCGAACAAGCTGGCAATATCATCGCTGAGGTCGTTGATGATCTGCAGGAGAATGGTGCGGAAGAAATCGTAGAAGAGGACGACGCTCAGGACAATATAGGTGAAAATTAGAAATCAGAAAATTAGAATAGCAATATCATCAATGGAAAGGGAGATAATTTTAATATCTTACTATTTCTTATTGACATATTAATTTCTGAATTAATCGCTTTCTTTCCATGCAATCGCTCATTTCGATATTTCTTTTTTTTTCTTTTTTATTGTTGCTTCGCTGATGTCCGACAAGATGTGACTCTTTACTACTTATCCTAAAATAATATAAACTCTTTCTCACTTTTGTACAAACAAGGCCGAGTAGTGTGTCAGCATAATTAAGCTGTCGTAGATCGAGATCGGCGATTTCGCGATTCAGATTTCTAATCGCGATGAGACGGCACGTGGAACACGTGTAAGGTCGTCCACGCACGTCGTATTTTCTTCTGCGTTTCCCGAGAGCCACTGTTGGACAAAGTCGGTTAACTCATTCCGAACTCGTAACTGCTTCCTTTATTGGAGATGTAACGACAGGAAGTCGGTTCATCTGAGTGCCCTGAAAATTACTGTGCCGATTTTCTTCTCCATTACGTACTTTGTTTCCCTATAATAGTTTTTCCGAAACGTATATAGCCATTGTAGTCAATACTTTTAAGTAAAACGAAAAAACGTACATGAAAAGTAATTTTGGTGTAAATATTATCTAGGATAATTAACTTTTCGATTAATTTACGATTACGATTTCCATTTACGATCAACTTTAATATCATGATGTAATATTATGATACAATATTACATCATAATATTATATAAATAATATATCACAAATAGTAACTGCTATCAATGAAGTATCGTAATTATAAATCAATCAACATCGTGAACAGAGGTACCGTTCAATCGGAAGTGGAGTCGCTAAAAAAAGAAATAGTATCGACGTTAGTGAATGGGATCTATGAATGAACGACGTTTAACTGTATCTTAGGCCGGTATTCATAGTCGGTTCTTATTTTAAGACCGTCTTAAGCAATGTCTTAAAATGCTAATACGGCTCTGTGATTGAGATTGTACTTAAGGATGGTCTTAAATATAAGATTCGACTATGGATACCGGCCTTAGATCAATGTAGGAAAGTAAATCGCATTGACAAGGCGAGCGAGTTTCGCGGATTCGGGTAACGTGCATCGCGATCATAAAGGTGAACGAACTTTCTGTTGTTTGCACAACGTTTAACCATCGACTGCATGGGCGTCAATGGAAACGTAAACATTATAGTTAACGTTTCAAAGAGGCAAAGTAAACCGCAAGTTAACGCACGATCGGACCCACAAAGTCCCCGTCTGGGTTACTAGCGAGCTGTTTAAATGTTTTGCACGCAATTGTGCTCGTGTGCGCGTGTCGCCGACGTTGTAACGCAGTTTACGCTAATTTAATGTCACGACTTAGGCAAGTCGACGGTAACGGTATCGCATCACTCGCCATTTTCTTGCCTATTTTTTCCAGCAAAAGTCAACAAACACGAATCATACGTACGGGCGGAAAAAATAAGAGTCGGTCCGCGAACGTTAATTTTAAATTCGTAGGACAAAGAACGTCACGGTTTGATTAGAATCGCTCTAACGAGATATTAATCGTCAGATTTGCCAAAAAAAAGCAAATAAAATCTTAGCTGATGACTGATAACGGTACCGGAAATATATTATCTTCGTTATCTTTTGGAGCGTACAAAAAACTGTACGGTACTCCCGAGTAAATTGCCGACGACAAATTGAATAATTCGACGGGCATTACGCTAATTCGCTATGATTCATATCTATTTAACATTTCGTCGACGGGCAAGCGTGGAATCAATGATAGGAGGTATCAGTGGCATTTCGTGAATCAGTGGATCCATTCCACAGACACCTTGACCGGAAGAGATATTTTTAGGACACGAAAGAGATATTTTTTTTTATATTGCGAGAAAATTTCGCGAAAGCGATCCGTGTGACTCTTTTTAAGAAAGTTGTACCGGTTGCGGATGATTATATGGCGCTTAAGCCAAACGAAATACACTATACGGGTTAAGGTTTGTAGGTCAACTTGCATGGAGATCCTTGCATTACGTTCGCAAGATTGCGTGCTTCGATTAAGATTGTGTCCACACCGAATTTATTTAAAGCAATTTTTGGCTAAAATGCCACTATCGCATTTACAAAAAAAGTGTTATTTCCAACATTCGCTTTCGCAACAGTTGCAATTATCATTCACTTTCACGTTTTACAAAAGTCCTTTCTGCGCGCAGACTCGCAAAAAGGAAATTTTCTCGCAGAAAATTCGTATAATAATACTTGCAATTTTTTTTAGAAGAGGCGAGGAAAAAGAAGTTCAGCAAGAAGAAGCTGAAACATTTGCAGAAAATTCTGGCATTGGTGATGCTGCTGAAAGCGAAATTCAGCCTGTTGCTGCAACTGATAAGCACCCACTTCCAGTTCAAGTTCTTCATCATCGCTGTCATCTCGTTGATACTGAACGCCGCCAGGTTCTGGATAGAGATCAAGAAGAATAATCCTTCCAAGGTTATCTACTACGAGCATGCACAGCATCAGCATCACTACGATCACGATGATCACGAGCATGGTTATTGGGGAAGATCGTCGAACGAAACGCCTCAGGAACTTGCTTACCGCGCTTACATACCCAAGGACTGACATCAAGATCGCATAAATTTGACCGAGGAGACGGTCCTTTTGCGCAAGAAACATCAAAGAAGAATCGAACGATGATACAAATTTCATCGCAAAATGATTATCGTCTCATCGTTCTTTTAATTTTATATAGTTAACAACTTAGACAGGTATTCATAGTCGGTTCTTATTTTAAGACCGGCTTAAGTAATGTCTTAAGATGCTAATACGGCTTTGTAATTGGTTAATGACATCTTCAGATTGTACTTAAGACGGTCTTAAATATAAGAACCGACTATGAATACCGGCTTGAGAGTAAGGAAATATTTGCGACACAACATCGATATTTATACATTGTATAGTATTTATTTATTTAATTTATTGCATCGTGAGCCGGCATAAGTGGGAGATGATACACGATCATCTTGAGTTTCATTTTAATGATGGATGATCGGAGAGATTTCTCTGGCCTCTAATTATCATATATAAAAATACTTTTTAATCGCCTTAAGTCATACCAAAGTTACTTACGAGTACCTGTTCTATATATCTCATTACGAAGAGATTTCTTAGGATCAACTATTTTAATTAAAAGAACATGCTATTACTCGTATCGTGACTCAGCAAATCTTAGACCTAAGTTTAACGTCTCTCTCTCTCTCTCTCTCTCTCTCTCTCTCTCTCTTTCTTTCTCTCTATATATGTTTATATAATAATAGCAGAAAAAAATTATATTTTCTCTACAAAAAATTTACTGCATTCTATAAAAAAACTCAGCAAACCTTAGACCTTAGTTTAACGACTTTCCCCCCCCCCTCTCTCTCTCTCTCTCTCTTTCTCTCTTTAAATGTTTATATAATAATAGTAAAAAAAAATTTTTTTTTTAAATTTTTTTTTGCAAAAGACAATAATAATTTTTAATCGCTACCGTTAATTAATTTCTACGGAAGCGTGTACTAAAATTTTTGTTAATAAATTATACAAGTATACGATTTCTTTCGCGTGTATTTCTTTAAGACACGATTGCAGGGGTTGCGTTTATCGACGAAGGAAAAATCATCTCGTCGTTACGGAGAGAAACTTTGGCGGTTCTGATGCACGAATCGCGTGACCTTCTTCAGTCGCACCGGTGGACCATCCCGAAATCTTTGTATTCCTCGTCATAGCATGACGGATAATGCGACTGGAATCCTTAAAAAGCGGCGATACTTTCAGGGTGTTTCACCTTGCTACTGATCGTTTCAATGATAAACGCACGAGATTTATGCAACGATTGCGGCACATCGATGCGCCATGAACCGCAGGAAGAAGTTTCTTACGAAAGAAACATGTATCCGACATTTTTTTTAGTAAATTTAAAATAAAAAATAAAGAAACGCTATTTATAACGTAAATAAATTTTAGATAAAAGTGTCTGTTAATTTAATTATTAAAAGAAGAGAGAATTATTTAAAAAATTATATTTATATATGAAATAATTTATTGTTTCTTCTTATGATGCACACAACGCTATTGATAATATCTGGATTTTGTGACGTAATCTACATTTATTATTTTTACTTTTCTATAGAATTTTTTTTTACCCATTGACAAATTAATGAAAACATAAAGTCACATCTTGCCTATAAAAAAACTTTTTTGTTAAAGAACTACCGTGTATTTCCTCTAGGAAAACTAATCTGTTCATGCGTATTGTCGATAACCAAAAGCAAGCGTGATTTCGTGATTGGATACATTTATCTCGTTGATATTAAGTATTCACAACCCGAAGAAATGCTGCTGGCGACGCGGCCTTAACGAAGATAAAGCCCGGCCGGGGCTGCCCTCGAATTTCGATGGCCGAATTCGCGCGAAAGACATCCGGCCGTCTTCGATTGGAACGCAGCCAATCATGGAATGGGACTAACGTATCGCGTTTGGGGATAAAATAGGTAACGACGATATATAGAGAACAAGTCCATGAGATCAAAGAGTTACGATCAAAAGCCAGAAATTTGAACTTACCTCCAGCACGTAAGAATTTCGACACATTTGTCAGTCTGAATGTAATTTATATCTGGCCTTCGAATTGCACGTCTCTTTGGCATCCTCATAGACGATTCAGCGCACTTGGCTCCTTTTGAAAATAATCCTTTTCCAGTCGAAGGATCTCTCTGACTGTTAATGTCTTGATAAACTATCAATTGTCGTTAATGTTTCGCAAACAGAATCATTTCATCTAATACGCTTGACACAATTATTCAGAGAAAATTTTCGGAAATTTTGATACAAACGCATGAATGCATTATTTGCAATCACTGCATTGACAAACCGTACCCGAGAATTTAATTACCATGCTCAATTAATTTAACAGCAGATTGAAAATAAGCGAATAAAGTTAATAAATTAATAAGAAGTTACGTTCTTTCAAGTATCATGTGTGTGATTTCCTGCGTCAAAAAAGTCGCCGATCATGCAACAAAGTATTTTTTATGTTTATAAGTATAATATAAATAAAAATTGCCAAATGAGCACATCATCAAGCCGTAAGCAGCGGCATTTGCATCGGGCCTTCGAGGATGATGTGGACGTCTGGCGATGGTCATTGGCAGACCAAACGTGATGGATTTACTGATTCAAATGTACCGAGAATCGGCCATTCATACAATATTCAAGATCTTTTCGCGCAGGTCACTATATAACACCCTTCTGCGAAATTCACATCATCAGTCTTCTCAAGATCCCCGAACACAAAACTACAATCAAACGTCAGCTTTACCGAGGAACCAACCGCAGTGACAAAGGACCACCAGCGCGCTCGAGGAGATAACATAGGAAGACACGCGTATTCCGCGATATCTCATTAAAATCATGACGCGAGAGAAGCTCGTCGCCGCGTTACTTCTCGGTCTACTCGCGATAGCTCTGAGTTTGCCTCAACAGCCGAAATCCAAGAGGCCTACTCCAGTATTCAAGGTCCTTAGAGACGTCGATATTTCTACATTCTTTTTCACCGGCGAATGCTTCACGGATTATCGCGTGCGCGATTCATGATAATCGAATTTTTCAATCAAATTTTCCAGCAATCTAAAACTGGTGCCTTGCTGCTTCCCGACAACGCAACGCTTATTCGCGAGAATATCGTCGATACATTTTCGTGCAAGGACAGAATTTACGGTTATTATGCCGACATGGAGAACGAGTGCCAAGTGTTTCACGTGTGCATGCCGCAAACAAGGAGCTCGATTAGATGGAGCTTCATTTGTCCCGCCGAAACAGTTTTCAATCAGGTGAACTAATATTTCATACGATAACATTTGACTCTGTATGTCAACGTATTTTTGAAACAAAAAAATATTAAGGGATGCTTTGATATTAAATACAGTGACAATTTATTTTTTGCTTGGTTTAAATCAGAGATATAATATTCTGATTTACTTACAGGCGACATTCGTATGCACACAAACGGAAAGCTCGATACCATGCGAGGAATCGGAAAAATATTACTCTCTAAACGAGAACATTGGAAAAGAAGTGGAGGAGGAGGAAGAGGCAGATCAGGACCGAGGGAAGAAAAATGCGACGAAGATTTTGAAACCTGAAGTGGAAACGTTGTCGAAAAAGTCATCCCCGAAAACTTCGAGATTGCTAAATCGAGAGAAGTTACTTCAGCTTTATTAAAAGTTGACGTTTTTTAATCGGCTTATTAAAAAAAAATAGCGTTATAAAATGTGATGACTATTATGATTAGCCAAACTCAATTAAAGTATAAAAGAAATTTTAGCTTGCCCCGGTCAAGGATGACTAAACGCTCATTTAGAGTTTAAGTTAATCGCTTATCCCTTATAAACTTATCTCGTAAGAACCTTCATAATGGCAGATAATGCGTAGAACTAAAATTTAAATTATTGTCACACAATTATTTTACAATGTAAAATATATCATTTCACATAATTACGATGTGTGTAAAATAAAACTCTGTACAGTACTAATAAAATACGAATAAAATACAAATCGTATATTACGTAACTATGTGCAAAAATATACTAAACGTTCATACATGTAATTAATATTATTCATCGAATAAAATAAAAGATACTGGGAGGAAAGTTGAATTTCTTTTCACAGTGACAATTTCTTTTCACTTGTTGCATTCATTTAGATATATATTCCAAGAAAAAGTTAACACAACATGTGTGTAATAATTATTATTAAAGAAGGGTATTATACAATACGTTGAGGTAAAAATCATGTAAATATTGTTTATGACTAATAATATATAAGTACAGGCGAAATATACATCTAATACTGATTAGCTAACTGCTAAAGCGCACGATACAAGGAGAAACTTTACACGATTGTCCCAAGCCTAAAATGTGTAAACATCGTGTCGCGATAATCTTGCAAACGTGAAGAAAAAAAATCAAAATAAGAACTTATTAGATGAGCAATATATACACGACAATAAAGAGGTGTTGTTGGCAAATCTAACTATTTACAACAATTGATATGTATCGATATTGGTCTTTCATGAACTTAATATAAAACAACTTAAAAAAATATAAAAAATGCATTAAATAACAATAAATTCTCTGTTACTATTATAGGTTTCGTTAATGTTATGATTAGATGATAGATTTAGACATAGAGTAATAAACTTAAACTAGAAACATACATGCACACGTAAGACAGCTAGAAATAGATCCAAAACCATCGTCCGATTCGTCAATCATCATAAAATTTTCATGAAATCGCACAAGTCGCGACGCGTGAAATATCATCCACAACTCTTGCGTTTCATCGTTTTTCTATTCGATATCTTTGGATAACTAGCTATCATGTCTCGGATAGTCGAGACCTATTTAACTTTTCGTAATGCCGATAAAATAATAAAACAAACAACAATTATACAAACACACATATTTATATAACAACACTCAGATGATGAATATGTTTTTCATTTTCGAATTGCCGCACCAATTCGTAACGCATACACAGATGCAATTTTGAATATTAAATAAATGAATCGAAATCATCGATTTGTATTAAAAAGGAACTATGTATATTTCATATGCATATCTCTATGAGATGGAAAATTGTCTCTTTTCAGAAATATGACATAAAATATGCTGCATCCGCGATATTAATAAAAAAAAATATTTATTTACTAGTAAATAATTATTTACTAGTAAATAGTGTAATATCGAGTAATATATAATTGTATCTGCAACTATTTACATAAACTTATGTATCAATTTTATTATTTATATAGCATGTATGTTTACTAAATGCATTCCAATTAATCTATTTCCATACAAACAAAATATGTTAAATTTTCTTTTTATGTCAGAGTAATTATTCCATTGTAAAAAAAATATATTTCTCTAACTTTAATTTTAAACAAAACTATGAAATATCTAGAGAATTAAAAGTCTCTGATTGAATATATAAATAAATCTCTTTGTCGTGACAAAAATGCGATGATAACTTTTGAAAATCTAATTGTAAAACTACACTTTCTACCCTGTATTGTCCTTTTAAAAAATATATTATTTAAGGTATATAATAATAATCTAATTTACATCGCATTATATAGAATACGAAATCGTATATTTCGAAGTAAGTTTTCGAAATATACGCAAATTCATCACTTTCAAGCTTTTTTATTTCTTCGTGCAAATCCCTTCTAAAAAATTTTCCCTTTTCTTAAATTTTTCTAATTAAAACTTTATATCTATTTATGTCTTAATCTATAACTTAATCTAATAAATAACAATAGATTTTGGAAGTTACGCTTCGGAGTCCATCGTAAGGTCCGCTTCGATTTCCTCGGGACTCCTCAGGTCGATCGCAAATCTCTTTCTGGCGGTGTTGTTCGTGGTGATTCCGGTCAGCTTCTCCTGAGCCTTTACGGCTTTAGAATAATTCTCAAAAGCTGCAGCAAGGGCGTATGTCAATTGCCTCGCGTAGTACTTCGATTCGCAAACGAAACCGTGACATTCGAACGGTGACATTCTCCTGAAGTTCTCCGTCTCACGAACGACGATCATAGAAAAAACCCTGGTGTAAACGAGATCCTGTACTCCGTAGGAGATCGTCTCAATAGGATACATTCTGGATAAATTTGCATCCTGCTTCCTCTTGTCCAGCGGCAGCAAGGCAACTCCCTCCTGGGAAACTACCAGTTTTATAAGAGGAAGCATTGTGTTAGTCGGCAAAGCTTTTGCGGCCGAGACCATATTATCGACGGGTCTTCTCGTGTGCTTGATGCCCCAGAGACCTCTTGCATCATGGGACCCCAAATATTTCACCTGAAAACGGCCTGCCTAAATAGTCTTGAATACGTAACGGATCTCCTAAAGATTCTTGAACAAAACTTCGAAATCTTAACGACGCGTCCTTCATTTAACATCTTAATTCTGAAGAAATTGTACAGAATAGATTATTTAATTTTATTTCATTTTTAATTTAAAGTTTTATTTTATTTTATCTTAAATATTAGAAACACTAATTAATAAGGTAATTTTTTAATTTAATTC